AGTTCAATATGTTTCTGCAACATGGGTCAGCAAGTGTGCAAATCAGAGGGCTTAATCTGTTAGCTCTAAAATCTGGTGGACATTCAATATAATTGTCCATTTTTAAGCCCTTTTTTTTTCCTGACAGCCTGGCTCTGACTATAGTAATTCTTTAAATTTTATTGGAAAAAATAACAAATTTGGATACTAAAAGTATCATGAAGTTACTTTTTTAGTTTGTTTTAAATCTATGAAATATACTGAGTTTAAATGGGTGAATATTTTATTTCACTATGGAAATCTGCTCTCCTCCACTTTTTTTAAAAAGTAAAGAAAAATATGCCCATGCAGACAGGGTCTGGAGCAAGACTGATTCCTTTGCTAAGGATTTCAGGTTGCAGACCAGTCTTTTGCCCATCACTCTCTTCTCCCCTCTTTCTTTGGTTCTCTACTGTACAAATCTCTCAATAGAGAGCTGAAAGCAGGGAGAAGTGCCTGGCTGAGGAATGTACATCTTCTGATTCTTTTAATCCTTTTTTTCCACTTGTTTGCCTTTTGGATGAATAAGCAATAAGGGCATGTCTACACAGCGGGGCAAAAGTCGAATTCAGATACGCAACTTCGGCTACGTCAATTGTGCAGCTGAAGTAAGAGAGCTTATTTTTGCTTTTGGCACTATCTACACAGCAGGAAGTCGAAGGAAGGGCACTCTTCCTTTGTCTTCCTGTACTCATAAAATGAAGGTACAGGAGTCGGAGTAAGAAGTCCTCCATCTTGACATTATTTTGAAATAATGGCTTGTTGCGTAGACGTTCATTTTGTTATTTCTAAATAATGCTGTTTTGTAGACGTATCCTAGGAGAGGTTTGGGAGCATTGTTTTGAATTACTTTAATCAGCTGCTGGCTACATGTCATCATTGGAAGTTTCCAGCAGGGGCCATCCCTCGTGGGACCTGCCAAAGGAGCTGCAATTAGCAGACAGGGAGACTGCCACACAGATTCAGTATAAGTATGATTGAAGGGATGAGAAGAGAGGTAAAGGGAGACAGTCCTGTAACCCCGTGTGGGCACTCACCCTAGCCTTGTTAAAGGCAACTAAATGGAAGAAATATTTTTTTAAAGTTGACACACAGTTGACTTACTGCTTGTATTTCAGTGATAAATTGAAGCAAAATATAACCATTCTGCTAATGCATTAGTCTGAATGCCGATTGTGTATTTAACAGTTTAATGCCTTACTAAGTACAGTTTGTAAGATCAAAATTTCTTAAGCTTTTTCATAGTGAGAACCACACTTAATACGACAAGAAGTCTTGTGGCACCTTATAGACTAACAGATTTATGAGAGCATAAGCTTTTGTGGGCAAAGACCCACTTTGTCAGATGCATCTGATCACACAGGAAATCTGTAACTGAGCTGAAACTGAGCCCTTATCTTCTAAGACCCCAGTTTGATATCTTAAATACAAGATCATAATTTTTCTGTAATGCAAATAAGCTCTTGGAAGTAAGGCAGAGACCACCACTGAAGGTCTGTTGACCTCAATCTGAGACTCTCTGAGTTGGATTACTTGGTCCAAAACCAAAGCATGTATTTGTGCCTGCTTTTTGAGCAACCAAAAATATAAGAAATATATAAAGAAATGAAACACGTATTTCTTAATGCTATGTAAGAAAAAGACTACCACTATTTTCAAATCTGACTTTTGAGTTTGTCTCTCACTGTAGTGTGGTACAGTACCAGACATCATCTGCTTGCCTCTTAGATAAAATGAAGGCTTTTTCCACTGCAGATGACACCTCTCCCAAAACAGTACATAATGCCATACAGAGATCTCATGTAGGCAATTGCTCAGTACAGACATTTCAAAATTTAGACTTTGAAAAGGGTAGATTTTAGTCCTAAATTGGCTTTTTCTGTCAGGAGATAGGGAAGAATGTATGTGTGTTGCTTGGTAGAAAGCATCCCTTTTTAGATTTCCATGAAGAAAACAGTTCAAGAAGAAGACCCACACCCTTTGGAAAATGAAGTATTCTGGCATATGAAAAGTTAGGAATAGAAAGTTCTCTGGGTCCCTCAAATGCTCTCAGATTTCAGAAAACTTCAGTATCCTGTAGCCAATAGTCACTTGATAGGCATAAATAACACTTATTAGTTAATTATATGTGCACAGAAAGGAGAAAATATACCTACTGTAAATAAATTTTCTAGATAAATATATTTGAAGAGTCTAGATGTTTGACAGAACTAGTGAGTGATGTACTCTGTTCAGCGTCTGAGTCCAAGGTTCTTCTACTGGAAAGGGGCACCTTTGAAAGAGATGTTTGCTCTGAATTTCCATTCATTTCCTAAGCTGCAAATCCTTTAAGAAGGGGGCCACTTGGAGAAAATTTTGACGTTGGGTTTTGTAACATGGATATACTGCATAGACCACCAGATGGTAATCTCACTGGGTAAATTTTAACCTAGTCCAGATTCAAATTAGTGACCTAGAGATGGAGTGTCCCCTGAGACATCCAATTTGAAACTATTACCATTACTGCTTGACACACAATCGATGGCAGCAGATGTGCTGCCAGTGTATTTTCTGTAGGTAATATGTTTTTAACCCACATTAGAGCATGACACTGGGCAGTGGTTTCTTCAATGTAACATGCAAGCATAACTCCATGTAAGGCAGATGCTGTAATCACTGCATCATTACTTGCGTGATACTTGCTGAATTGTAAATATTTAAGTTGAATTGCTGATAGTGGATCTTTAACAATTTCATTCAGACACTGATATTTTAGAAGCTTTATTTTGTATTAATTAGTTTGTATTATCCCTTAGAAGCTGGGACTTTTTTCCCTTTATTGATTTTTATTTTTCTCCACATGGAGAAAAATTTAACATTTTTTATCTCAGCTTCAACTTGTGCATTCATTGTGTCAAATATCTTGGTCTGTGCACCAGCATCACTGATTTTGGTATGTCAAGAAAGAACAATGTTAGCTGGGGTGTGTGTGCGGGGGGCGGGGGGCACTGGCATGGTGGTAGGGGGAACAGAAATGCATTTTCAAAGGGATGGACACTTAACTTCTAAACAAACTAATGTATTAAGTGTTGAGGTAGTAACAATATACCAAAGTAGCTATTAAGACAAATCCTGGCCATAAATTTGTATGTAGCTTACGATGAATAGACACTGCTCCTATTCTTCAGTACCAGCAACAAGTTTTCAAAATGATCAAGTTTTAGTCTATTGTCTTTTTAAGTAAGAAATAAAATGTGGACTCTTGTAATCCCTATATTGGAATATCTATCATGTATCTTTAATTAGAGTTAAACCTGTCTCTGCTGGACAGTGTACCTAATATTTAATTATGAAGGCAGTCGTTTGAACCAGTGTTTGTTCTTGGTGATTATGGAGAAATGTTGTGATCTTCAAGGATATGATTTTTTTTGTTCTTTATTGTATCCTCTATTTTGGCATGAAGGCATTACTGTCAGTGAACAATCGAAGTAAATTGGATTTCAAGCAACCAAAGCATAAAGGGAACTGTGAAGAATGATTTGCCATTGGAAAATGTTTACTTGCATTGATAGCAGAGTTACAACTATGAGGGAGGCACCTCTCTCAACCATATCTAAAACAGATGTTTGGTTTGATGCCCAATTTGTCATGCATCAGCAAGTTTTCAAAGTACCACCAGTAAGACTGCTGCAAGCACTTGCTTAACTGTGCATGTCTATAGTCCCATTGATACTAAATCAGTATTGCCATCCCAAACATTTAAAACATTTCACAAGATATTTCAAAAATACGTTTTGGTTTATTTTTCTGAGCTTTTGGGTTTTTAAGCTTTTAAAGTGTACTAGGATTCCATTTTCAAGATTTTATTTGCAACCGGAAGGGGTAGAAAATTGCCCTTTAAAAAAACAGCTGTGTTATGTATTTACATGAGTATAGGGTTGCCAGGTGTCCGGTTTTGAACCGGACAGTACAGTATTTGAGCTTTCTGTTCAGGAAACAAATTGAGAAAATATAAATTAGAAAATAGAAGTGCCCAGTATTTTCTAAATAAGATGTAATGTAGATTGTGATGTAATATCAAGTGTGTCTGGCATTTTTGTTGAAACCATTTGGACACCCTACATGAGTACGAGAACTGGGCTTTGAGGAAAACCACAACATTTTGGGAGACTTGTTGTAAAATCATGAGAGTTGGCAACCTGGAATCACAGTAGTGCTCCAGGAGTGGGTAAAAAGATATGAATTTGCCTAAATATTTGCGGGATCTGGGCCTCCAGTCACAAACATAGGTAAAATAGTTCAACCCTGTGGCAAGAACAAATGAGAACTGTGATCTTTGTGCTTTAGCATGTCATCAAGCTGCGATTTCTCGTGTTTCAGTACTTGGGTATTGATTTACTAATTTGATTTTTCTGGGGCATATGGTGCTTATGATGACACTGCAGAGGCATTACTTTTAAAAATAAAACAATTATATACTGGTTTTGAATCTTTGTAGTACAGCATAAAAGTATGTATGTAAACTGGTATAATTTATTTAGGTTTGCTCTCATCCAGTTTTAAACAAACGGAAATTGATAGTGTTTGCAGGTATCAATGACTGCATTGTAGGATGAAGTGGATTGGCACTATTACAAAGAATAGTTTGCAGAATTTTAGATAAAATAAACTTTTTGAGATATTTATTCTGAATTTGTCATTTTATCATTCTACAAACCATATGTTACTTCCTCCTTCTTGTCCATCCCACCTTTTTCTGTACCATTTAAGTAGTACAAATACGTGCCTGTGTATTCGTGCATGCATGTGTGTGTAAAACTGCACATTTTATAAGGATACACTTATTTGTGTATCTGCCTGTGTGTTCGTGCATGCGTGTGTGTGTAAAACTGCACATTTTATAAAACTTCAGTTTTTAAATTGTTTTTTTACAGTTTAAATTTAATCTCTTCTAATTGCAGGCGTATAATTACATTCAGTGCATGTAATTTGTTTTCTTTCAGATATGTGTCACAAAGATGTCTACACGGAACTGCCAGGGAATGGACTCAGTGATCAAACCCCTAGATACAATTCCCGAGGACAAAAAAGTCAGAGTTCAGAGGACACAGAGCAGTTTTGATCCATTTGAGAAACCAACTAGTCAAGTGAAGAGGGTCCATTCAGAGAATAATGCTTGCATTAACTTCAAAACTTCATCAGCAGGGAAAGAATCTCCTAAAGTCAGACGACATTCTAGTCCTAGCTCTGTAAGTACATAAGGCTATATTATCCATGTGGTTACCAGTTTCTATACCAGATGCATAAATATGTTCTTTTGTTGTGTAAATGAATTTCAACACTTCTGAAAGTGTTCTACTTAGATTAAAATTAATATATTTATTAAAAATGCCCTTTACTTTTGCTGTTAAAATCTAATTTATATTTCACTGTTATGCTATGTTTAATCTGACATTTCTCTCAGCTCTTGGGCAGTTAGTTTCACTCATTTATGGACAGTGTCTAATCAATTGCATTTTTAGGGTCTCAACTTCAAATATAATACTAGAAAAGTTGTTTTCTGTGGAACTTCATACAGCCTCCAGAAGCAATGTAGAAACGTATTTTGATCTTGGGTTTTATAAAGTTGTATTTCTCTTGAACACGAATCTTGGACCAATTTTGCTGTTATTTCTGCTTTTGTAAAATCCTTTTATTTAAAACGGAATATAAGTGAAATTAAGTTTACAGTTTTCTGACACAGCCATACTGCATGTGGAAAAATGAAAGGACATTTATCAATACAGTATCATGTTTGTTTTCTCTGGCTAGTCTAATATTTTGAAAGTAGGTAGATAAATAAAATGTCATGTCTTTCATGAATAGTGCCCGAATAGATGTCCCACAAGAGACCTTAGCGAATTATTGAATGATTCTATCTTTTTACTGTAGCAGAATAAATCCATAAAAGTGTGACCTTTGAGATAATGATTACAGATTCAAGGAGAATGCAAAGAACACTTCAAAAGTTAGTTGGCATGAAAGTGATTTTAAAGGTTGATTCTTTTCTCCTGTGCCTTCTGGATCAGAAAGAATTTTGAGAACATTCTGTTTCAATGAAGAAATGTCAAAATTCTTTTTTCTAGAGCTGAGCTTTGTTTAACCCATGTGAATTTAACCGATAAGAATTCGTCGTGAGGGGACTGTACTTTGTGGGAAAGGTTACATTTTAAAAAGAACTTTCAAGAGCAAAAATATTTTTGCTTTCCCAACTTGGTGTCATGTTATATAGCCTCTGTCACAGAAGTCTCCTGCATGTTCCAAATCAATCCATAACAAGGAGTTCTTCTTAGTGTCTACTTATTGGCAATAATTGCTATCGCTATTGCATTGTTTAATGTTTTTAGCATAGAATGGAGCTACATAGTTATTCTTTACCCTTTTTGTAAATGTACAGTTTCTTTTTCTTGTAGGAGTCAGTTGAGGCTTTTTACATACTCTAATCAGAACTATGTAAAATAAAAGGTGGGTTTATTTGTACACAGTAGCATTGTTATTAAAGGATATTCAGGGGACACAAAACCAATATCAAGAGGCAAAGTTTAAGGTAATTATAACTGAAGGCCCTACCATTCCTGATTTGAACGCAATGGCATAATTCTTCTCTGGGAGCAGTACTGGGCCTTAAAACACTTCAGGATTAAATGAACTTTCTTCGCACTGTTTCCACATGGAAAAAAAAATTGTGTGTGTGTGTGTGTGTGTGTGTGTGTGTGTGTGTGTGTGTGTGTGTGTGTGTGTGTGTGAGAAATTTGACCCTTTTAATCTCTACCCTAGACTCACCATCTCTTCATAACTTCCTTGGTGTAAATGTCATTTGGCTCTTCTGAAGGATTTATGGACCCCCAGTTTCTCTCATATTCACAGAAATGAAAGATAAACTACACATTATCATAGTGCTCTTCTATCTCTCTGCTGCCGGATTGTTTCCTAAAATATATACTGGTATTCTGTGTATTGTTCTGCTAGTCTGCTAGTTTCAAAATTTGCTAGCAATGGGACTTCCTTAGGAGAGTTTCTAGTCTAATTTTATTCCTAGGAAGCTTTCATAGAATCATTGAATCCCAGGGTTGGAAGAGACCTCAGGAGAAAACTGAATCCAACATCCTGTCCAAAGCAGGACCAGTCCCAACTAAATCAACCCAGCCAGGGCTTTTTCAAGTCGGGATTTAAAAAACCTCTAAGGACAGAGATTCCATCACCTCCCTAGGGTAACCCATTCCAGTCGTTCACCACCCTCCTAGTGAAATAGTTTTTCCCAATATCCAACCTAGACCTCCCCCACTGTAACTTGAGACCATTGCTCCTTGTTCTGCCATCCATCACAACTGAGTAGAGCCTCTCTCCATCCTGTTTGGAACCTCCCTTCAAGATATTGAAAGCTGCTATCAAATCCCCTCCCTCACTCTTGTGCAGGCTAAACAAGCCCAAATCCCTCAGCCTCTCCTTGTAGGTAACATGCTCCAGCCCCTAATCATTTTGATTGCCCTCCATTGGACCCTCTCTGATGCGTCCATATCCTTCCTGTAGTGGGGGACCCAGAACTGGACACAGTACTCCAGATGTGGTCTCACCAGTGCCAAATGAAGCAGAATAATAATTTCTCTAGATCTGCTGGTAATGCTCCGCCAAATAAACCCTAATATGCCATTAGCTTTCTTGGCTACAAGGGCACACTGTTAACTTATATCCAGCCTCTCATCCACTGTTATCCCCAGGTCCTTTTTTGTTGAACTGCTGCTTAGCCATTCTGTCCCCAGCCTGTAGCAGTGCTTAGGATTCTTCCATCCCAAGTGCAGGACTCACACTTTTCCTTGTTGAACCTCATCAGATTTATTTTGGCCCAGTGCTCTAATTTGTCTAAGTCACTCTGGACCCTATCCCTACCCTCCAACATATCTACCTCTTCCCCCTGGCTTAGTGTCATCTGCAAACTTGCTAAGGGTTCAATCCATCCCCTCATCCAGGTCATTAAGATGTTGAACAAAACCAGCCCTAGAACTGATCTTTGGAGCGCACTGCTTGAAACCAACCGCCAACCAGACAGAGCTGTTGATCACTACCCGACAATCTAGCTAGTTTTATATCCACCTTACAGTCCATTTATCCAGTCCATACTTCCTTAAGTTGCTGGCAAGAATATTGTGGACGATCGTATCAAAAGCTTTGCTAAAGTCAAGGTATATCACATCCACTGACTTCCCCATGTCAAGAGAGCCAGTTATCTTATCATAAAAGCAATCGGGTTGATCAGGCATGACTTGCCCTTGGTGAATCCATGTTGACTATTCCTGATCACTTTCTCCTCTTGCAAGTGTCTCAAAATGGATTCCTTGAGGATCCCCTCCATGATTTTTCCAGGGACTGAGGTGAGGCTGACTGGTCTATAGTTTCCTGGATTGTCCTTCTTTGCTTTTTTTTTTTTTTTTTTTTTTTTTTTTTAAAAGAGGTGCTTTATTTTTTTGCCTAATATAAATCTAAATTTTCTGTTTTCACATTGCTTCTCTCACATTACATGTCTTGTAACTATCTAAATAATGCCTGTTTGTACTGAGTGTTTACTGCCTTCAGATATTTGTGGCTTTCTACCATATACAGGCCATCCTCACTATAAGTCCAAGATACTTAAGTTCCAAAAACTTGGACTTATGGCAAGAAAAACTTAAAGCGAGGAATTTTTTACATCCATTTGCACAAATTGGGCGCTTTTGCATGACTTAAGAGCAGGGAATAGGAGGACTTATAACTCATCAATTCATACAGGCATCTACAACATTCGTGTGGAACAGATGTATAGCGGGAATGCTCTGTTCTCACTATATTAGTTGTCTAAACTTGCGGGATATTATCTTTTTCAAGTATATCAAAGTTGTCTTCTCTCCTATTACATTGGAAATTTGCATTTAATTTGTTTGCCACATAAATTTTAAATATATTTCAGAATTATTGGTTTTCAGGTATTTCCTGCCTACTAAATTTGTTTGACTCATGTTTCTGCAACTATATTAAATGGCATTTTTCTAAGTTTCAGGTCATCTTGTCTAGATCCCTTTGTATTATTTCCACATGCATTTTGCCCCAACTGAGAGTAGTAGGTTTTTGTTTTCCAAGTACTCTGATATGATGTTTATGAATATTTACTTTGACAGGCTTGCAGGCTTGTATTTCCTACTTGTTCAGACTTTTGTTCTTTATTTTCTTGCTAAAGACACACAAAAAAGAAATTCCATTTTTTAAAAAGATGTTAAAGCTTAGTAACCCCACTATATTGGTTTTACACATTTCCATTTATTAATGGCACCACTTCTCTCTAGTAAGTCCTTCCCTTTCCCCAGTTTTTATTTAGAAAGTCCCTTTCCTTACCTTTCATTGTCTCCTCCCATTGCCTTTATTCCCACTTGCTAACAGCTAATTCTGCTTATTGTTATTTGGCTGCCCCCCCCTCCATTTTTCTATTTTCATATTTTTATTTGGCTGCCCCCCCTCCATTTTTCTATTTTCATATTTTTGATCAGACCTTACATATTACACTGGTGGCTACTTGTTCTTTTTTCAGAAGACCTATAACATACTGTGACTTGAAAGACAGTCTTTCAAGTACCCCAATCCCAAACTGTTTAGGGCTGTATAGTGTCGCGAGAATCACAGGTCCGATGATGCATATCCAAGGGGGGAAGGACAGAACCAGGTGGACAGTTTTATCAAATAAAAAATATTTATTTATGACAGTGGTGAATTTATAGTATTTATTCTAAGATTTTTAATAGACTGTGTTAATAATGAATTTACAGTATTTATTATATTTATTCTATGATTTCTAGTTAAACATGTCAGATATAAGGATGGGAATGGCAAGGGGAATAGTCTCTAATCTTAAAATATCCAGCTACACTAATTAAATAACAGTGATAACTACAAACTCT